AACCCGGCCAGACGGTTTTAGTTTCACAGAGCCAAGCTGTGACCGAACTACCGCTACTATCCAGAGCACACAGCCCGCTAGCTAACCGAGTGACCGAACTACCGCTGCTGTGAGCACACACCCCGCTAGGTAAACGAATGACCGAACTACCACTACTATCCAGAGCACACAGCCCGCTAGCTAACCGAGTGACCGAACTACCGCTGCTGTCCGGAGCACACAGCCCGTTAGGTGAACGAGTGACCGAACTACCACTACTATCCAGAGCACACATCCCGCTAGGTAAACGAATGACCGAACTACTACTATCCAGAGCACACAGCCCGCTAGCTAACCGAGTGACCGAACTACCGCTGCTGTCCAGAGCATACAGCCCGCTAGGTGAACGAGTGACCGAACTACCACTACTATCCAGAGCACACATCCCGCTAGATAAACGAATGACCGAACTACCACTACTATCCAGAGCACACAGCCCGCTAGCTAACCGAGTGACCGAACTACCGCTGCTGTCCAGAGCATACAGCCCGCTAGGTGAACGAGTGACCGAACTACCACTACTATCCAGAGCACACATCCCGCTAGGTGAACGAGTGACCGAACTACCACTACTATCCAGAGCACACATCCCGCTGGGTAAACGAATGACCGAACTACCCCTACTATCCAGAGCACACAGCCCGCTAGCTAACCGAGTGACCGAACTACCGCTGCTGTCCAGAGCATACAGCCCGCTAGGTGAACGAGTGACCGAACTACCACTACTATCCAGAGCACACATCCCGCTAGGTGAACGAGTGACCGAACTACCACTACTATCCAGAGCACACATCCCGCTGGGTAAACGAATGACCGAACTACCCCTACTATCCAGAGCACACAGCCCGCTAGCTAACCGAGTGACCGAACTACCGCTGCTGTCCAGAGCATACAGCCCGCTAGGTGAACGAGTGACCGAACTACCACTACTATCCAGAGGACACAGACCGCTAGGTAAACGATTGACCGAACTACCACCAACATCTATTGCAAGCATCCTTTAGAGGAAATTTAGTACCTGGTAGACTCGATCAAGGTCGGGAGGAAGAAGTTAACAAAAATTCCCTTCTGAGTGAAAGTGAATGCGTCTGAGTGCACAAAAGCCATAAAATCACTTTTTATTCTATCTGCGTTTTAGCGTATTTTCGGATCATTTTATTTCGTTGAAGGAATAAGATGTTAACTAAATAGCTGATCGAAATCATTTGAATAAACCGGCCGTAGACTGGAGACCACAAGAAAAGCGGAGGCGAAGCCGAGGCTGTTTCTTGTATATATATACTAGCAGACCCCGCGCAAATGGCGCAGAATAAATAATGCGATGGATAAATCATAACCTACCCTAGTGCATAAATTAAGCTCATTACTGCAGCCTGCAGGTACGGTATAAGCTTTACGGTAAAAACGTAGAATTTGCAATGTATCAACGTCCACAGATGACGATAATATTGTCTACTGGAATATTTGCTCATCGCTTCTACTGGCTGTGGATACGACCTTGAAAATGAAATGCAAAATTTAGCGCCTTAGTGCGGAGAAATTTTTTCATTAGTTTCCCATCTATTTTTATTCCGGATCAGTTATCCAATCATCTAAATTTCGTGTGCTTGTTGCTTATGGACTCCATAATTTATCAGAAGTTGCTCTCCCTCTCTTATTTTGTCATTTGTGCCTTTTTTTAGCTGTAGAGTCGAAGATTATCCGATGACAGTTTACTTGTACTAAAATCCCAAATTGAATACTAACACCACTGGTGCCCTTTGTAATCAGTTTAACAATAAGCACATCAACAGAGTACGGTACTTGCTCTACTTACTATCGCTTTTTTTTCTTCTGCTTTGACCACAGATTATCACATCCAGACACTTTTAATTAAATAAGAACAAAAGCATTTCGCTGCGTTTCCTTCTTCGCTTTTAACTCTTTTTCGAAAGCGGGAACTATTACCCAAAATTTTCTGCATGCTTGCTGCTCCGCTCGCGCCACAGCTTGGCGTTGCCTGCGGCTCCGCCTTCCGTTATGCTAAATAGCGATCTAAAAAATTTATTTGTCCATGTTTATTTAGGGAAAGTGGCTCAGTACATGATACCAAATTCGTGTGCAATGTACATGCACGAAAACCTTCAATTTCGCGCATTCCCAATCACATTTTTGTTTCGGTTTCTGACATTCTGTAGCCAGACGACGTATATACACTGGCGTGAAAGCCGTTTCTGCGCGCAGCATCAGATTTGGGAGATATGACTATTAGAAAATTCCAACAACTTTCAAATGCATTCCAGTGTATCAAAAGTTCATTATGGATCATCGCCATGTATTATCATGTATTATCAGCATCATCATCATCATTATCATCGATTGTTTTTACACCGATCCACTGTTCCGGCATGCTGTTTTAATTTTTTAAATTTATTTTAAAATTTGAAAAAGGTCGGTCTATAATGACTTTTTGTACACCGGAATCTGAAGATGCATTTGAAGTTTTTGGAATTTTTGACAGCCATAACTCTCAAACCGCATGTTGCGCGCACAAATGGCTTTCACGCCAGTGTATACAAAATACAAATTATCTGCCTACAAAATGTCATATAACGAAACAAAAAAGGGTTTGGAAGTGCGCGAAAGTGTAAGACTTCCTGCAAGTGCACGAATTTTGTACCATGTACCGGGCCACTTCCCTTAACAATGCAGCATTCCACCTTACATAGTACAATTTGCGCCACACCCCACCCGTTTTTAAACCGACCATGATTTAGCATGTACAGAAGCTGGTTTTGCTTTAATATCAGACGTTTTTTAATCCAAACGTTTTGTAACATGCGAAGCAAAACAGCTCGCTGTTCTTCCAAGCAATCTTGACTATTCCAAGTTGCCCCGTTTGGCTTTCTTGAACACCACCTCGCCTTATCTAATGAAAACGAAAACGTAGCAAATTTTCCCTAAATCACAGGCAGTTCTGTAAGAAAGGCAATCGCGCCTGCCAGGAAAGCCACTTTGCAGCGTAGTTAAGCGAAAACGAAATAAATTACTGCGGGGGTCACATACCTTCTTAAAATCAGGCTTTAGAACCGTCTCGCGGACCACAGTCGCAAAATCTTCGCGGCGATTTTGTCTTCTTTCATTAGTTTTATTTTCTTTCTTAAAACTAAATTTTGATGAGAAATATGCATTAAAACGATAGAACAATATATATATATATATATATATATATATATATATATATATATATATATATATATATATATATATATATATATATATATATATATCAGCTAGTACACTCATGAGGATTTAAAAAATTCTAAACCTAGGTGCTATGGCGCCAGGAAATCTCTTAGAGCATAGTAGTGACCATAAAAAATACAGATTGAAACCTTTAAAAAAATTAAATAGGTAAAAATTAAAAAGAGAAACTATAACCGAAAGGTTGCTCAAAAAGCGCGAGACACTATACAGAACAAATATTAAAATTACCATTATGGCTGCGTGCACGGGTGACCTTTTTGAGTCCGCACAGGTGTTGGCTGCGCGCACGGGTAATTTACAGATATTTAGATCAAAATTTATTCATTTAAAACTTTTTTAATAATGATTTAACGTTTTTATATTCTTTGATTTCGCATTTTTTCAAATAAATTACTACAGAAAGGTGTCACAAAATTCATAATCTTTTAAGAAAAATACGGAGAAGTACCAGTACCCGGTTCCGTTCAAGAAACAAAATGTTCGTGTTCTCTTCACCGAAAAATATGTCCTCGGGATGGGTGTTTTCTGAGTTCCAAAAAACCATTAAACTGTTCCTTAGACCATGCATTTTAGAAGCGCAAAGGTACATTGAAACGCACTAATGCTGTACTAATGCTTATTAGTGCAGCACTGTGAATTATTTGAAAGTCACAGTAAGAAAACTCAAATATCGAATCAGCCAACACGAAAACGTAAAAAGATTCAAATTTAAAAAGCCGTGCGCCAGCCAACATCCGCGCAGACACCCGTGCACGCAGCCAACACCCGTGTTTTCCCGTGCACGCAGCAGGGACCTAAAATACGAGTATTTCAAAACTCTCTGCTTTGTCAACTTTTGTAAGCGGTACAGCTACCGTAGTGTGGTGCAGCTAATGTTTCGGAGAAGCAAAAAACAGCTTTCTATTACGAGTGAAAAAAGGTGCACACTGCACAGAAATGCAAGCGTTATAATATAGCATAGTGTACACCAATTTCTTTTGGTAACTATGGTAATAAAAACTCCCCCCGCCGAAACTGCAACATTAAACGCTCTGAATAATTATCAGTATTTAAAATGCAATTAAAAGACTTAAATAAAATACGAAAAAAATCATTCACTACTGCACATTCGGTGCGGTGTGCGGTGTGTCAAAAATCTAATCTTTTTGTGTGCATTCTAATATTACATCAGAAAGCGTCGGGCGCACCCCCCGGCCCCCAGGGGCCAAACAAATTTCAGGGAAGGTAAAAAAAAACTATACCATCAGGCAATGCTGTTATCCAGTGTACTACATCGCACCCGTTGTCATGCAAGTACGGTACGGTTGCACATCACGCCTCACGGTACGGTTGTACGGTAAGGTTGCTATGTAACGTATCATGCGCAGTACAGCACCGCAGTACGAAACTCCTGCGTATAGCCACTTCGGCCAATTTATGTTATGACTTAATCTTTCCTTAGCAAAGTGAACTGTAATCAGTGGCGAGTTTAGGGGTAGGTGGGAGGTTCTTGAGGAATGAGAACCATGTCCGCCCCTTTAATTAAGAGAAGAGGTAGAAAAATTCGCAGGAGGGGGTACACTGCAAAATTTTGTTCGTTCCAAGGTCGCCGAAACTTCAACAGAATGCGCCCTTTGCCCCCCCCCCCCCCCCCATCAGAAACCCGCCTAGATTCGCCATTGACTGCAGACTGTAATGGCATTAACACACTCCTAACATAACCTAGAATGTATTACCAAATAGCTCATAGTAGGCTGCTTCAACGGGCCAGTGGATGTCCTGTGCGCAATGTACACCAAATGCCCATTAACAACATCCACAAACGAGGCTGTCCATTCCCGACATCCTGACGATTTCAGTGTACCCGTGGCTTTTTCCAGAACAACGGCCGCCGGGATCAAGCAGCAATTTTTCGGTAATGGCACGCTATGCTGGAGAAACATCTCTTTGCTGACCTGCTTCAAGATTGTAGATCGATCATGAGACGGGACATCGACGCGATCTCGTTCGTGGTTGGCAAACCAGGCAGCAGGTACCCTCCAGCGAATGCGCTCAACGCGCACAATATCCGTTCGGGTCAGATTTGCTCCCCAGCGGACGATGGCCACATGGGGCGACGAATGGGGGACGTTATGCTGGACCAGATTGATTATCTCAGCGGAGAACCAGACCCATGGAGCAGAAGCATTTTCACGCATCAGCACTTCAACAGGAATGGTGGCACCCGCTGTCGCATACACAGCGCCTAGATCAGTTAGGAGCGGTGGAGGGTAAACCGGAGCACAATGCTTGAAAATCCTGGAGAAAGGGAAAAAATCGCGCTGGTGATTGGGATAGAGAAGATCAAGGTGTAGGCCGTTACAGGCCACATCCACAACGCGTCCGTAGCAGACACGGTCGCCATCGTCCAGGACGTTGACGGTGTTCCATCGATAGATTCCGCTCGACATGACTGACGAAGCTCAGAAACGGGGAGAAAACGCTCGATCGTCTCGAAGCACTGATATTAATAACAAACGTTACAGAAAATGGTGATAGCGCTATCCGCGTACAAAGAATCTAGAGTTTGTCGCTGTGCAGTTTCCACTCGTATTAAGCTCTTTCATTATAATATGGCAACACGTCGACCAGTGTACGTAGTGTCACGGTGTACGTTATAACCGCTTAGGCCACGACCACGACGGTAGCACGTCAAGTTGCCGACCTCCGCTTTGCTGCCCGACAATTTGCTGCCCGATATGTTGCTGGCTGACACAACTTGCTGACCGACAGATGGCTGACCGACAATTTGCAAACTTGCTGGCCGACATTTGGTTAAAACTCTTTCGTTGATCGACAGCTCACTTGTCGGTCTACAAAATGTCGGTAATCGACGAATCGCTGGCCAACACATTACAGAGGATACAATCTTACTGATCGACAGTTTGCTTACCAGTTGAACATAACGAGCTTTGCAAATCCCGTTTCAAACAGAGAAGGAAGTCAACCCAATGCAATCAGTTTTCTTAGAAATTTTATGGTTTCTTAGGTTTCTTAGGTTTGTGAGGTTTCTTAGGTTTCTAAGGTTTCTTCGGTTTCTTAGGTTTCTTAGATCTTTAGGTTTCTTAGGTTTCTAAGGTTTCTTCGGTTTCTTAGGTTTCTTAGATCTTTAGGTTCCTTAGGTTTCTAAGGTTTCTTCGGTTTCTTAGGTTTCTTAGATCTTTTAGGTTCCTTAGATTTCTTAGGTTTTTTCGGGTTTCTTAAATTTCTTACTTAGGTATTCTCTTGTGCGTTGTAACATTCGAGGAACATACGCGTTCACAAGTGGCTTCGTGGAAACAAACGGTGACCCGCTAGTTCGTCGACCATAACTTCTTCGAAAAGGTAGGAAGTCGAGCTGCCGTTTGGCTAAACTGTCTCAACTTTCTTAGGTTTTTTGGGTTTCTTAATGTTCATATGTTTCCATATGTTTTTCAGGTTTTTAAGCTTTTAGTTTTCTTATTTTTCTACCCTTTTATTAGCTTTTCAAGCGTCGCTACCTAAGTTGAATTGTCGGTCAATCAGATGTCGGTCAACAATTCTGAGCATGAGCGATGCGTCGGGAGTTGTTTTGTCGGTCAACAGAATGTCGTCAGCAAATCGTCGGTGTTCAGCAAGCGGTCGTTCAGCGACTTGTCGTTCAGCGATTTGTCGTTTCAACAAACCGTCGGGCCAACATTTTGTCGGTCAGCAAAATGTCGTCAGCAAGTCGTTGTTCAGCAAGATAGCGGTCAGCAAATTTTCGGTGTGCCCTCACTCTCAGCAAATGCACCACCCTTCTCCTTGTGCGTAACAGGCTTAACCAAGTTTCGCGTTTTGAACGCAGGGTATCTTCCATTCGCATATTTAATTATGTGCAATACGCATTTTAACGAGCGTTACTGCTCCGCAGGTTCAATCATTACTTCGAAGTATACATAGTTTGGTTACGTTTTTGCTTGACGCACTAACACATTGTGCGCTCAAGTAGTAAGCCTAAGTAGGCAACTGAGTTTCTAAGTTTTTTTTTTTTTCTAAGTTGGCTTATTAAGATACTAAAAGCCTGTTGTTTTGCTTAGAGGCTAGGGCTTGCGCATGTAACACCCGCCTACTGTACTGTAAGAAGTGGTTAGTGAGTCAAGTAATTAACACTCGTACAAAGCATACTTCTAGTGCTTAAGTGTGGCTTAGTGCCTGACCGAAAGACAAGCTAACCATGGTGTGATCGACATGCGAGACCGACAGAAAACTTGCGTGACCGTGCGTGCGCCGAAAGCACAGTCACGCACTTTTACTTTATTATTTATTATTGTATCGTCGAGTCAACTTGGCACCTATTTTTACATCTATTTTTACGTATGTTAATCGGATACGACTCTCTGTACGAAAATGTGTCAAATTGACTCGACAATACAGCAACTGTGCTTAGAAAAATTAAAAATTTAATAGTAATTAAAGATACAAGGTAAATAAAACACCCAGAAAAATGTCAAAAGCAAATGAAGGTCCACGCGCGGATAGCAAAACCAAAAATCCTGGCTTCTTTTGCTTGTACGGTTGTACTGCCCAACGCAGGTTTACCCGGAATCTCGACGCAACGATAAGCGCTATGATTTAATTATTTGCTGAAGTGTGGGAGTGCCGTTAATTGCCATCAGAATTATTTTGCCGAACCAGTTTCTGAAACCGGCTCGTGAATATTTGGCACGCATTATTTACATCAGTACCGGTAATTAAATTTGAAAACATTTTCTAAATCAGGAAAATTTAGTAAAACTAACTGAAACATGCGGCATGTACCACATGAGATAAAAGCTCATCTAGCTAACAGAATGAGTTTTCATAAAATTTTAGAACTGGAATAAGGAAATATAATTTCGGACAGCAAGCATCAGTATTTATACATGCCAAGCATAATTAATTACAACATCCGCAATGCGTTTGTTCGTGAAATGGATACACAATATTGTAGGCACCATACCGGTATTCACATTGCCACAGTAGTCACGATTTATTTTCAGGTTCATCGGTGCCTTGCGTGTCTTTAAGTGGCAACAACTGCTTAATTAGCTTACATTTTATGCTTAATGCAGACGATGTTTCTTCCTTGGGGCACTCAAGTTTTTCTTGTATCGATTTTTCGCATAAACATACGACTTGGCAGCAGTACAAACTAAATTGAGGATAAACATAATAAGCGCGGTGCCTGGCCGCGTCCATGTTTTCCTAATTGTTAATAATTGGTGACACTGACCGGCTAATTGACATCACTCACATCAGCATAGATGTTGCAAAATTTGTGTGGCAAGCGCAGTATATAAACAGATATATAAGATCAATTCCGTTAACTGATATCACAGTTATTAAACTGGCACAACACTCTGCCGTCAACTCTTTCTCCATCTTCATCAACTTCCCTTATGTACGATGCAGTCAAATGCTGCTATCCTCACGCTATGGACCACCGTTACGCTGCTGCTGCACCACAGCTCAGCGGAGTCTGGCGACCCCACCGTCGAAACTGGCCTTAACACACTCAACGCCGCAATTAAGACTGTCAGTGGAAATCCAAAAGCCGAAAAACCAACGGAAACTCGGTAAGGCCGGTTTACGACTGTAGTGGTTTGTGTTCCCCAGTAAAGCACGCTATACTGGAATGACCTCCAGCTAAGTGGCTGCTACGTTGCTAATATGAAACACATTGTTTTCATGCAGTTAGCTCCCTTTTTGTCGCGTATGCACAAATTTTAGAGCAGTATGCTCTGTCTGCTACAGTCAATTCGTCGCAAAAATCAGAATAATTATGAGGAAGAAAATCATCATCATCATAATAATTATAGTGAGAAAGAAAAGGCGTACATGATTTTCTGTACGCGCTTAACGAAGACGGCAAAAACCGGTTTTAAAACGATTTGAAAGAAGTAGGTCAGCAGAGACATTCAGGAACATACCAAACCGCACAGGCGTGTGTTGGCATGTATGCTTGCGTATCCTTGCATGAGATTTAGCGCAGGTATGGTCAAACGTCGAGTTGAAACCAAATTCACTACGTAGCGGTCGACTTAACTGGGGATGGTTGCCCTAACCGTAACCAGCATTCGTATCCATCAACCGTGGATGGTCGAAGAGTGGCAGTAGTTGGTTGTTTCACATTGCAGCCGTCCACGGGTGACGGTTTAGCCACTTACTACTAGACTTGCTGCTGGCCAGCTCAAAGTTTTATGGTACGAGTATCTGCTCTGCAGAGTGAACCTCAAACTTTCCCGTACGAATGCCAACCAACATAAGGAACACACTAGTACAGTATGCTCGCGCACTTCCACACAACGTCGACAGGGTTTAACAACATTACTGTACAGTAACCCTGTACTTGAAGGAAATTATTAATTTTGTACCCTATGAGAGATACGATACCGTACAGCCGGGTAAATGTAATCAGTCAAGTAGCGTTGTGTTGCAAGCCGTGTATGTGGATGCGCTTGTGCAAGTGCGACTAGCTGCACGGTACAAATTTCCTTCAATTGTTGGTTCACTGTACAGTAATTTCAGAAGGACCGTTGCGTCGTAAAACCAATTCTTTTTTTTAATTTTACTAACATGTTTTCTTCAGGGTGCAGTTGTTCCATCGTGCGCGTAAACGAAAAACTAAAAAACTTTCAACAATTTTATTGTACAGGTAGAAAACAACCTTACTTAGTAAGGTTGTTTTATATGTATATTATTCCATAAAAACGTTGGGAAACTGTAAAACTAATTTACTGTAAAGATGAGGTGCGCAGATTAAAAACAACTACGTCACAAATCTCCTGGCCGTAGGCCTTAACCCCTTTAACGCCCACATAAAGGGGGCGGCAGTTAATGCTTTTTGCAGAATATCAGTTGGCTCACAGAAACTGTGCTCCCTACTATGATCACCGACGCAGCATTTAACAGCGGGGTTACTGCCAAGCTCATACCTAAAGCCTTGGCATTTTTTGTAGGTCCTTTGCACCCGACCTCCTACAAACATTTTTGAAATGCCCCGACCCATTAATGAATTATGGCTGCCGCGAGTGTGAGAAGTCATGCGCCAACCCGAACCCGCCGGTGTTATGCGTTTATGATTGCCACAACACCTGCGTCTGCAAATTTGGTCTATATCGTACCTTCCTTCCTTCGCCCACATGCGCGCCGCCGAATGGACCCGTGATCAACAACTGTAAAGGAGCACCAAAAAACGTTAAAGGTTAAACAGCAGATGGCCCGATACGTGTTGCGAGTAATTGATATACACAGCAAACGCTGATGATTGCGTAATTTTCCTGATGCTGTTATTCCATGATAATGTCTGATTGCTTTGATTGCCTTTAAACAGAAATGGGAATTCTATTGATGACATCAGATGCTTGATGTACGATATATTTTGATGTATCTTGATGTACTATATAGCTTGATATACATATCTTGATGTACGTGCAGGGTGGTCAGATTCCAATAAACCAGAGATTTCTTACCAAGGCACAAAGGGAGGCTCCAAATTAAGAAAACTGAAAGATTTTGCAGAAAGGCAGTACCCCTAGGAAGTATAATTCAGAAAATAATTTCGGCTGTTGTAATTAGGATGGGCGTGGCCAAACGCAAATTAAAACAGTAAGTGCCCAATAGCCAATATCACCAAAAATTATGCAGTAACATCACTGGCTGTACGTGTAGCAGTCATTTTGCGAACATTGCATCGCATGCGGGTTTCACTTGCTTAGAAGCTCGGCTTCAAGAGTCTACTAAGCCTACTGGTCTCTGCCACCGTTTTTAAATTGTCAACTTTCAAAATTTGATATTTTTGTTCTTTGTGGTTGCTGGTTAGGAAAGCAAATTTTTTTTGCAATATACAAAAATGCACATAATAACAAGTAACATATTTTAAATAATAACAGAGTTTTGAAAGTAGAAAATTTGACAGCGCTGGCAAAGAACATCGCACGCGGGTTTCACTTAGTCCATGGCTAATGGCCTGCTGCAATGGCATCAAAATGACTCCTACGCGCAAAGCCCGTGCTGGTATTGTATTAGTATTTGGTTTGGGCATTTCTTACTCTTTCTATTTGCATTTGGCCACGCCCATCTTGATTAACGCAGCTGAAACCAGTTTTTAATTATACTACGTAGCTATATTACCTTTATGCAAAAACTCGGATTTTTCTGAATTTCGAGCCTCCTATGTGCCCTGGTTAGAATGGCAGCGGCATATCTCCTTTAATTTTGTGGTGAATAAGATTCCGTGACCGGTCGAGATGCTAATGTGCCTTTGTTTATTTCCTTTGCAAGTATGTGCAATTGATAATCAGAATAGTAACTGCGCCGTCAACCCGTTGACGGGCACTGGCGTCAAGGTGCAACATGGTGTTCATAATTTCTCCAAAAATATAACAATAATTATAATTTCTTGTCTTCGTGCGACGAAGCTGTTGTCCGTTTCTCGGCAGTGGACAATGAGACAAGTTGTCCTTAACAGCAAAATGCCGAATGGAAAACAGGAACAATATTTTCAATATGCTAACTAAGAACAACAACAAGTGTAAACAGAAAAAACAACAAGAGAAACAAAAAAATTATTACAGTATGTAATACCTATTACAGTATGTACGAAAGAGATGCAAAGTAGTTTAGAGTAACAAAGCAATGGATGACTGCGAGTTAGGAAGAAAAAATGTTTTTGACCATTTCAGGTCTTCCCACTTTACATGTTCCAAGGATGAGCGAAAGGCTTCGAGAAATTTTTTTTACGAGGCTGGAAGAAGAGACTTCATTCCACTGAGGCGTGAGCTTGTCGCTAAAATAGCCGGAAATAGAAGTAGGGGTTGCATCACAAGCAATTGTTGGTATTGGAGAGAGAGAAGGTAGCGGCATTCCACTGGCCGGAAGTGGCGTGTGTAACCGACCAAGACGCCCGGCGGACGTTTTGGACGATAAACCGACCAAACCGTCCGGGGACCCAAAAAACGTCCACCGTAAATTTTGCCCACCCAATTTTTTTTGCGTTCTCGATGCCTTCTGAGAGTTTTTTAACCCGGACATTTTGGTCAGGGCACTATTTAGGCCCAGACACTTTGTTTTAGGCACTTTGTAAGCCCGGACACTCTGGCCTGGGCACTATTTAAGCCGCGGCACGTTGTTCTGGGCACTATATAAACCCGGACACTTTGGTCTGGGCACTATTAAAGCCCAGACACTTTGGTCCGGGTTCTAATCGTTGCTGCCGGCATCCCAAAAAAAGAACGGGTGGCTGCAGAACGACATGCATCCAAATCTGCAGTCCTAGGGGCAACTGCTCGGGGTAAAGCTTCTGAGGTTCACGACAGCGCGGCTTCTTTCCCAGCTCACCTGGACACAGCTGGTGATGCTGCGGTGCAAACACGCTTGAAGACCGAGGATCCGAGGGTCACCGTGACAAAATGCCAACACCACAAAATGCATATGTGCATTTTGTGGCGCTGACCAACGGGCAGACATCACTTTTTGTACTTGCGCTGAACATAGGGGAGCTTCGCTACGCTTTGGTCAACTAGTGATTGTATCGCAACTTACTGTTTCTGGTAACGGTAATGTATTCGTAGTGGTAATAGCTGCACTATAACACCAAACGCAGATATAATTAAATGTTTGCACTCTGTTAAACAACAGCAGTTCATTAACTAAGAAATGTAGACATGAACGAAGAGGAAAGACGTCCCAATGGAAAAGAAGCCTCGTGAAATTTCTCTCCGTAACGATAACCAGCAAATAGCTGAAATTAGAAAAACAGCAACCATTTAACTAGCCAATTATTTTGCGAAACAGCCCTGCCGTCCGATGAACCGGGCGCATATTAATACCGAAGTTTTCGTTATGCTTATCCTTCTTTACCTGGGCCATTGAAAAGCTTATTCAAAACATTACATATCAGGTTTGCAAGTGACAAATTTAATTTCTACGGGACACAGCTTAACTTCTCGGTAACATAAAATACTCCATCTGCAAGGAAATGGCATCTCCGTACACCCGCAGTCGGGTAGCTGTTAGGTTGTTTTACTGTTTTTGCTGGCGTTTTTCTCCATCTACCAGATTCTAAATCTGGTAGATTAACCTGGTAGATCTGACGAATCTGGTAGATTCGTCAGTTGCTTGATTTCGTTGTCTAAGCTGTGTGCTTTTTCCTTTGCCCCGCAGCAAGGTGCTGCGGTGGCTTGTGATGTGTTATGTGAGAAGAGATAAAGGCGTGAAGTGTGTTTGCGTTAAGTTTCCGTTTCTGTTCGCCCAGGGGTGAACTAGCCTTTCATCCCGTGTTTGACATCCATGAAAAACGGAAATAAAAACCGCTAGGATGCCATATACACTGGGTCAGCTGACTACTGTCTATACAAGGATGGAGCAAATATACGGGATAGACAGGAAAGGGCAAAAATAAGGGATAAGACGTTTGTGCAACACGGGCCTTACACGACCAGCCACAAAGAAATGGCATTTAAGTGACACGACACAAAACTCATCCGTTACCGTTTTACAACCATGCCGGTCGAAGTTGAATAGACAGTGGGCCGCTGACAGTGGCCGGACGATGCAATGCGATATACAGTCTGTACATACGTTTAAGCATAAGCTGCGCCCACAATACGGTAACCTTAGTCAAAACAGTAATAACAATGCTAGATTTATAAATCACATAACTATGCGGTAAAATACAGGATAGATTGAGATAGGTAGTTGAATAAGAACTCCAACAAAACGCATAGTTTCAGTGTCATTGCGAGAAGTATGCACAAATATACAGTAATCATAAGTGGGTATTATACATTGTTGTACAACGTACACTGACATTTTGAGGCTACATAAAATAAAGATGCCCTTAAATTGGACTTTTACGTATGCATGCCGGTTGGTTCTGGTTGGACATGGGCAGTAGGCGGACCGCCGACCGTTGCCGTTGTCGCCGAGGAGTCCAATGCACTGGGCTTGGCTAATCTTTTGGTGGACTGAGATAATGCCTTCCACCATCTCATGGTCAGCAGGCGACGCACTTGTTGACGGTACTCCTTATTGACCGCGAGATATACGAAGAAGTTCAGTGAATAATTCGCCATCAGAGAGACATCACAAATCAGTGGTAAAATATCCGTGACGATATCCGTCATCGCAACAGCCTGCCCATAAACCTGGGCCAACAGGAGACTGAAGTATAACAGATTGGGACCATTTGTGATAAGGTAGACGACGACGGTGCCCCACAACAGAGTATGGTTGGAGATGGTGTGCTTATTGCGAGAGTCGCGGGTTTGATCGGAGTGCAGAAGAATTTGGGCAGCGCGGTATTCTCGGCGAATGGCGCAAATAAGGACACTGCTGAACAGCAGCAAGAGAAAAAATTTCCCAAAGACGAGAAATGCCTGTGTAAAATGCCACTCCATTAACATCAACAGGGGCATTCTAGATGGCTGCATGCAGGATGCGCGTCCACAGCATTGTCAAGAAATTACAATAACGTTTAAAAATAATTTAGCACAGAAGGATTTTTATCGATCTGCCAAGGCGTTAAAAATCTGGTTTAAGCCAGATAAGAAGTTGAGTGGATAGGTACAGTATTTATTATGGTTGTAAATTGATAACAGTACTTCGCTTTGCCCATTATGTTAATCTGTTCAGCTATACGGATCAGTCTAATTACGAGAAAAATGCACGTTGCATATTGGTCGTTAACGGCAAGATGCTCGTTTTTAAAAGGTTACAACAATGAAAAACTCTAATAAGCTACAAAATGCGTTCTGCGCCTCTGCCCTATATAATAAGCAAAGGAATAAGATATAAGTTCATCCATAACGCGCTTCCATAATGGGCAGAAATCCAGGGTTGTATTGGCCCGCGACCCCACGGAAACCAGTGGTGACATGATGACAATCATGACGTTATAGCACGCCAAGGCATCAGCGATGACGTCATAGCGTTACTTCTACTTCGGTAACGGATTTTCGTAACGGACAGACATAAAAAAATGCAATGGCCTTGAAGTAACAGGACATTCACTTCGCTCCGGTCGGTTAACCGAATTGACAGCTCTGTGGCGAGCGGCTACATGAACAATTACGGCTGACTGCAATGCAGCCTATGCAATGTTTACTAATTAGTAATTTGGTAATAGCAAAAATAACCCAATGTCATCCGATACCCGCGGTTTGCGCAACTGGATCGTTCCGACACGAAGTCTATTTTGCAAACCATTATAAGTATGCGCGCTGACTAAGACCAAATT